CGGCGATGTCGCGCAGGCTATAAAAGGAAGATGAATTTATGAATACTACAAATATCCTGAAGAGAAATTGTGAATACTAAATACACTACTTTACGAGATAATAACAAAATCCCATATCGCGAAACTTAAGAGTGGGCTGGTCACGTTGCACGCAAACAGGGGTCGTGGTGCAAAGCCGTGATAGAGTGGAGACCGTGGGGCGAAAAACGCCCACAAGCAAGACCCCAGATGCGTTGGTACGATGACATCAAACGAATAGCTGCCACGAAATAGATAGAAATCGCTCAAGACCGAAAGAGATGGCAGAAAAGGAGGCCTACACCCTAAGGATAGAAAAAGGCTAAAGAAGAAGAAAAAAAAAACCCCTATCAAAAACCTTCAGACACATGCTTCAGTAATAAAGCAACGATGAAAAAGAGATCAAATACTAAAGATTTACTTAAACCCCAGCATCAGTTCCAGAGATCACAACATAAAACCAAACTACCAAAACATTACATATCATTACAAGTACAATATAACCAATATAGTACCTATAAATAGCTAATATAACACTATCAGTGATAAGGTGCGTGTTGGCTGTGCGCGCGCATATTTAACGGCGCGGCGCTCGCGCACGTCGGCTGCGACCGTTACCCGCGCCCCATATACCACCCGACACCCGCTTACTCGCACTTACTAGCTGACTACTACACTACATGGCTCATTTTGTTTTATTGTTTATCTATACGTTACTAGACCTTGTTTTTGAAAGGATGCAAAGCCTAGGCTAGTCTTGGCAATTCTTTGTTAGACATCTAGAGGCCCTCTGGTATGAATCCCCCGAAAGATCCTTATTTGGTACAATTCAGGATGACAGTGTCATTTAATTTACATTTTTGGAAATTATCACAATAAACACGGAGGCTGCAATAATATCTGGAATGTTTTTGTTTAGTTTTACCAGAATTTACTAAATATAAATAATTTGCATGTGTGATCTATCCCTCATGATCCGCTAAGGATTCTTGATAAAACCATTTTTACGTATAATATAAAATTAAATAGATGTATTATATGCATTTGTGTGTATTTGATACTGCTTGCTACTTTAGAAATGACAAATTCGAGTCTTTCTTCTATATTTATAAATTAGGGTCACATTTTCGTCTTTTTTAAAAAATGTATCATTTATTATCTATGCACATTACACACACTAACATACACACAATATAAATAAACAGTCCATGTCAAATGTCAGACAGTCGTAAAAAGTATAATTTTTCTTTATAGAAGTTTGTTTGAGAAATTCGGTCGAACCTCGAGACAGGGTGACGGCGGCGACCTCTAGGTATTATAATAAACTGTCATGTTGCATTGACTTTTTCTGCATATAAAACTTCAGGTAGCTGTTGATATCTTTAATTCTTGACAAATAAAAATTATATTTATTTTTATTAGTAAAATAATAATAACATTTATTAACACTGCCTGGTTTCAAGGCCATGTTTTGTAAAATTATTAGATTTTTCCAAATTGGTCTCAATAACGTAGGTAAAGTGTGTATGTTCAGACTGACATTCTATCTAGCTCTCTATAAATGAATAACTCTTAAAGAAATGGGGTAACAATATCTAATAACATCGTCTACTCGAAAAAGACTCGTAAAGACATACGATAAAATGATAATGTTTTTTTATTGTGAAGACATAATATAATACATTAATTTAAAAATAAAAACGACTTACAAAAAATATTAAAGAAAACTCGAAATAACTATTTACAAAGAGCGTCAAAAAATTTGTCCTTATCGATGTTAGCTAGGAAAGTACTTAGATGGAACAAAATAGTGGAATAATTGTAGAAACCGATCTAATTGGGTACTTGCCAACTAGTCAAATTCAAAACTTTTTTTCGAACTGTCGAAAACGACAGTTTTCTACGAATTTTGTACGCGATTGTGTATTGGGACGTCACTTTTTTTAGAGTCAAACAGCATACTTATTTCTTAAAAAATTGCGGGAAAAATATTAGAATTGAGTTGGTCATTAAATCAATTAATGAAAATAACTATGATTATTTTTTTATTTTTTATTGTATTGAACAGTCGAAATAATTTATTTTTGATTAAGGAAAATACCCTATTGCTGTAATTAATGCGTTCAAACAATCGAAAACCGAAACTCTATACATAACACTATCAAAAACATACCTAGCACTACTGAAAAAGCACAATATTCAAAAACTGAAAACAAATAACATGAAGGCTGTTACACAAGACAGTTCCGTACAATCAATTGGAAACACTTTCCGTTTCCGTTTGCACAAAAAATGGACTATAATATAGCAGGTACCATTATACTGTAGTTTGGTACACGAACTTCTGATGATACGTGTTGTAGTACCTATATAGAAAAAACAATGAAAGAAATGACTGTGCTATAGGTAGTTTATAGACTACACTAAACGCTGTGGCGAAGCGTGCTTTGCCGGGGCCCCGTAGAAAACATTGTTAGGGTTAGTTAGGGGGCTGTGAAGAGTAAACATTTCTCACAAGAGATTATTTTTATATAATATGGGTTCCTACTAATAATAATTTGTATGAAAACTGGTAAACTTTCCAGGCCTTCCAGGCAACTACATCTGCCCAAATTAGCAGACTATGATTACTTTAGTTTTTCTAAAGTTCCTTACGAGCTAACCTTTGAATTATGCTTTACGCGAGAAAATTCGTTTCGACTTTTGTGATAACTGAAATAAAATAAAAATTGCAAAGTTGTTATTAATTTTTGCTTACGCACCTTGGCGGCCTCTGTATTCCGGGGGCCCCGTATAATTGATACGGCAGATACGGCGCTAGCTACGCCTGTCTCACCAGTTCCATATACCTAAGTAAGTATCGTGATAGATAATTCATACAAATTACGTTCCTAATTCTTATCTGGTGCATAGTGGCTAACCAGGCATTGTGAAACAGGTCCTAAGAGTTCTGGTAACCACAGGGTAGTTAAGTATACTTTGGTCATAAGCTTGACCATTTTAAACTGCTATCTGAATCAATAAAGCGTGGCTGTTATGGCAAACCCTTTTGTAGAAAAGACTCAAAATCCAATAATGGACGGAGTGGGTAGGTTAAACCTTCGCTAAGCCAAGATTAACCTATCGAAAGCCGAAACATATTTTTTTTAAGTCTTCTCCCTCTCTTGGGTTTCCTCCTGTGTTGTGAGTGCATTTACAAACATACAAGTTCACATACACATGACACCCAGACCCGAAACAACAATTTTTAGGTCACACAAAGAGTTGCTCCGTGCGGGAATCGAACTTGGTAAACGTTGCGGGGCAGCTGTTTGCCCAGCCACCGCACCAAATTGTCTCAATATTGTGTTAAAGTTCCGAATTGTTATAAGTTCATGTTCATTTATGAAATAACCATGCGTAACAATAACAAATACCTAAATACGGCCTTATTTTAATGCGAAAGTGATATCATTACTTTGTCACACTGTCTGCCTTCGGTAATCTTTGATGTCTTCATCGAGACGATGGGTGATGGATAGAAGTAAATAAATCTAAAATCAACCTAAGTAAATGAACACAAGGGTGAAAATTGAAACTAAGCAAGTACAGTCTATATGTATAATGCAATGTATCCTTAAATGTGTAATTATTTTCCAAAACATAGACGATTATTTCAGAAATCGTTTAATTAAAACAATTTTTGTCGAGATAAGAGAAGAAGATCTTGGATCAAATAATTGTATCAAACCCAACTACTGGACTAACGAATACCCGATACCAATGGTCGTTTACATCAATGGAATCTGTAATCCACATTCTTAACCAATATCTGCGATATCGATCGTTGTATTTAATATAATAATTACAGACAATATAACTGTAAATAATAAGGTATTGTATCTTTGTAGTTGGTATAGACAAGGCTAAGGAAGAATGCATATTCAAAGTTGGAAAAATCATCTAAGATAATGTATATTTTGTATTACTTATCGTAAATTATACCTCTAATAATATTATTGAGTCTCTATGAAACCTTAAAGAATGTTATTTATATATGTATGTATAAGCATATCGAACTGAAAATACACACGTTTTCGCTAAGATTTAAAACACGTAGGTACATACATACTATTATAACATTCACTCAATAAAATTACATTGTCAATAAAAATAATTACAATGCACGTAAACACGAAACGAAATTCATATATCATGTAACATTAGTACATTACACTTATGATTTCATGCGATAGTTTCTCCTCACAATATTAAACATATCAATTCATTTTAAATATTAGTTACTCCTCTAAATAATTCACAGTTCACACATTAAACTGTGGTTCATCAATACGTATTGATTACAAGCAAGTACTTCCTAATTTGTGAGTTGAATGCTCTGCTTCCGTGGCTAATGGCTCGAGCCCCGGATGTGGACATGAAAGCGACCAATCCGAGCCACAACAATGTGTACACACCGTACGACGTCTTATGAGACTACTCTTTCTGCCTACCCCGTTATTGATGTAGCTTGAACACGTATATTAATAGTTTGAAAGTTCAACTTAAAAGCTCACATTTCTTTATTACATTTCTCAGCATCTCCACTCAATATGCTAAATTCAATCAACTTGTACACAGATAACATAATTGTTAGATCAAAACCAGTTAGTTTATATTTTCATTAACATGCGTCCGTCATATAATTTTTGGAAAGTCTGAATACTTCGCATACCGTTACTCTGTTCTCTGTTGCTAACACCTTTTAATATTATCTCTATTTAAACGGACGACACTGATCCGAACAATGTCCGACTATAACAAACTCTTCGTTTGATGTATGATAGAAAATGGCGAAGGAAATTAGAAAATGTTTCGCAGCGGTCAGACACCATCAGACATTAACATTGAACACAAATAGGAACTAGAAGTGGTAACACAAATTTAATTTTCCTTGTAGCACAGTGACCCAGAAGGGCGACCTATTTAGGGGAGGGTCTCACCGGACAGCAGGGAGCTCGCGAAGGATTCCTGGCAGAGCGAGGGAGGCAGGAGGGCGGCGAGGGCCAGCACGGCCACACTGAGGCGCACCACTGTCATGGTCACAGGTCACTGGCAGACACAGTCAGATAGCGCTGTCTCGCATGGCGCGTCCACTGCTCGACTCGCGCGCGCGCGCACTGTCCTCCACCACTACCGACGTGTTTGGGTGCGTAAGCGCTGCATTGAATAAGTCCAACAGATGCGACACTTCACTTTGAGCGCGTCTCGAAGGACCGAGAAAGTTCAATGATAAATCCCGAAAGGTCTATTCGTACTTATGAAGATAATTATGAATGATTGGAAAAATATAACTAAGAACCCCACGCCTCAAGAGGAAATTCTAATGTAACCGTGGCCTTAAAATTGACTTCGTGAAACCGACAATGCTTTGAAGCTTATTTTTCTGATAACCGTGTTACAGCTTGGTGAGAAGTTCCTATACATTATTAAGAGACCAAGGTGAAAAGATGAGCTAAGGAAACCTTTTATATTCGAACCACTTATGATAAGAAACCGCACATTGATTGCCTCAATAATAGACAAATTGGCGAAAATAATTAATGTGATAGTAAAATATTTATTTATTTATTTAAACTGTCAAACACCAAGCGGTCACCGGTGACCGCAACCTATTGTTTTACCTCTATAATTGTGTCTATAATGACGGTACTCGACGAGTTAAGCTTCATGCACAAAATGTACATTAGGTGGACTTAATGCCGCGGGCATTTTCTCCCAGTCTGACCTTTGGGTGATGCAGAGAAGAATTAATGGTGTGAGCAAGAAGCAAGCAAGTATATTGAGCAAATAAAATACAAATTGGCGAAAATAATTATGAAACCAACTTAATTATCCAGATAATTTACCAAAAAAATTGAGGAGTCTGTAGGTACATAATAAAATGAACATAATCTGTCTCTTCTACACTTTTATAATCTTTGTCCAAATTAGCATCATTTAACGGCAAATGCTGGTTACCGCGGATCGATATTATTGCAAGTGGTGCCACCGACGCTGCCACGTGACCGACCATCAATGGCTACGTGTAGAGTTGTAGACCATCAATGACTACCACTTACCATCAATGACCATATGGTCGACTAATGACTAAGCCAAATTATTGTTTAACAATCACATTTTTCGTATACAAATTATAATTGCATATAAGTAAATCGGATAAAAATTAGCTAAGGGATAAAAAACTGAAAACTGAAACTTGAACCTTTGAAAATATCATTCCATCTATCAAACCTTCATACATGACTCCCTCGCCGCGACATTGACAGCTGATAAAAAGAAAATAAACAGTTAATGCAGTTGCAACATCTAGTTGACTGGTTGTCCGTCATAGGTGCGTATACGCAGCCACAGGGGTCGTTTACCCCAAGAGACCTGTCCAAGCTCCATAATTGTCACTGTCAACTTTCGCGGGACTTCACGATATTATTCATAGATCGATAGATAAGTACTTAAGTAGCCATTAAAGCAGTGTACCAACCAATCAATATTACAACCAGCTCGTAGCTTTATGACTAGTTATTAAAATATCGCGTAATGTTTTTCGAAAGGTGTAGTGCAGACTGGTGTAGATAACATGCCACTCTCAGTTGTTTTTACCTTTAATTATTATAATAGGGGATGAAATTAACATCATACGGTAGCCACGATTTCAAACTCCTTTTGATATAGGGCAAAATGTAGATGCATGATACAATTTACTCACCATTAATAAAAATCCAGCGGTAGTTTCTCAGCTGTTAGTCGCATGGTCTGACTATTCATGGCCCTTTATGTAATCTTCACATTAACATAACTAACTAGTTTAACTAAATTAACTAAAAATTGCAGGTTGCGCACGTGCTGAGAAAAGCTCTACAAGTTTCCCGCGATTTTTAGTTAGGTACTTTAGTCTCTATGTCTCACGGTGGTTATATATAGTACTAGCGACCCGCCCCGGCTTCGCACGGGTGTAATATGCATGTATTAAACTGAATTAAACATATAAATCTTCCTTAATAATCACTCTATCTATTGAAAAAAAACCGCATCAAAATCCGTTGCGCTTAGCTTACCTACACAGGGACAGACAGACGGCGGATAGATACTTTGTTTTATACTATGTAGTGATAAAAACATAACATAACTACCACCTAATGTTAGATGCTACATACATGGCATTATTAGAGACAACATCTCGTTCAGAATTTTGGTCTGATTTTGGTTACCTGAAGAATTGCTCTTTATTTCTTAAAACAAAATGGTCCTCTTCACCCTTGACGATCGACCCCTCAGTATTTTACAGCTAAAGTACTAGAGTGAAAGAGGTAAATTGCCTCCAACAATAAGTATTACAATTGACTAATACTGGCAATAGACTACATCACAAACTTTTACTTTTAAAGCGAGTGTGTGTGTGTGTGTCAATATTTGTCGTACAAGTACGTCTGAGAGTAATTCGCACCTATTACTGACCAGTGATAGCTTGGTGCTCCCAATGCGATGCCAGCGACATCTATGATAGGCGAAAAGTTTTGATTCATCAGTTTTATCGCAAGAGTTTGTTTGAGAGATGCTTGTGTTGATTAATAGTTTTCAAAATAAAATAACAGAGAAGGATTTAAACACATATTTAAGACTATGTTGATACCAGCAGTTTCAAAGTGAGAATCCTGATGTTGTTAACTGTCCTAATCAGAACCTATGCCTTTAGTGACACTCCCCTCCCTCTCGTTTAACCCAGACGGGAGAAGTCATTGGATGATTATTCCACCCTTTAAAAAAATACCTTTCGTCGTCTTTACGTGACATGTCATAGCCTCTTAGTCTAATAGTGTATTTTGTACAAAATGGCAAAGTTGTGTATTTTCATAAACGTATTAATAGACTCGTCTAATATAACAGTGATGTCCTTTCATGGTCAGGTGTAATTTATAGACTCCCAGTGGGCCAATGACCTCAGTTATATCCTTACAAATAAATTTATTATGCTACAACTTTAGATAATAGCAGTCTTGGAATGTCACTTCTGAATCAGCGAGAGATGACACTATAAGATTAAACATTTTTGGAAATCGGTTTTATAATTTTACTAATTTATAACATCTGACTTGTTTTTCCTCATGGGTAAACAAAACAGTCAGTGAGGTAATATACAAACACTTTACTATCTCTTATTTTTGAACTAATGGTTTTTATTAAACTTAATTTGGTGGTAATAGTGGGAGAACCATACTTCTGCATGGCTTTCTACCCCCTCCCCTCTCCTCTTCCCGAATCTCCCCAAACTCTAAATCCCCAACAATCCTTAAAAGACCGGTAACGATCTTGTAACGCGTTTCAGATGTCCATGGGCGACGCCGATATTGCTTACCATCAGGTGATCCGTCTGCTCATTTATTTCGGCTTATGTCATAAAAATAATTGAGGTTTGGTGCTATTATCTACTTCTATACAATTCTATACCGAAATATTTTCTATTGTATCCTCATTCCTGTATTTCCTCCCTGTTCCTTGGTTGGATAAAACCCCGGTATCCAAATCACATTCAATGTTTTGGTCCCGGTAGGTATACTAATATGAGAAATATTCGCCTGCCGTGTTTAGGAGTCCCAGCCTCGATTTTTAGTCTTGTAGATTGTAGAACTATACCTAATTGTATTATAACGATTAACCTTTTCGGAGTTATAGTTACGCCAGCCTGCATGAATGAAATATCTTTAACGTCTTGGGACATTCTCATACATACCATTCTTTGAATAAGTACCTACCAATAAGAAAATGCATGTTTTACCTACTTATAAACATTTTAAGAATGTGTATTGTGTATGTATGTTTACAAATTTTCAGTGTGACCCAAATTCCATACAAAGTAAAATATCTTTAAGATCGATACCTATCAAGATAGGTACCAGGTTTTCAACAAAAAAAATGTCTACAGACACGTAATCTTGAAAACCTAGTTCTTAGAATAAAATCAAACGCCCAATAAGCATAATTATGTGGACATTACGGTACATATTAGCTAGCGGGCAGTGGGTTCGACTCCGGGCAGACCTGTTTCGAACTGTAAACTAAAATAAGTGATGGTAACGGCTCCATAGTAAAAAGAGAAAGTTACTTGAACATTATACGTTTAGTTTTAACTAGTTGTCTGAACGGACAGCTTCGAATTATTTGCGTACCTACGTAATCAAAGCCTAACTTTTTAAAAACCACGTTGAGGTTCGCTGTAACCAGTTATTCTCACAGTGAATTGCAGATTTCGTCTCGATGTTACAATATACGTAGTATATGCAATCATCAATGCAAGTGAGATTGTAAATAGAAGAATTTGCATTGTTTATCTAATGGTGTAATACCCGACTATATTGTACACGAGGCAAAATATAGATATTAAATTGGGACAAATGATTACATAGTTACAACTACTTTTCTTATGCAAACAACAACAAACATAAAACTAAAACAATAAACACCAACGTACCATAATGGTCGTCAACCTCACACATCATGCAATCTTATTTTAGCAATATGAGACAATATCCTCTTGACCGGTAATGAGTCATACAATCTTACAGCCCTAACACCCAACACCCATTAATGGACGCATGACATACAATATACAATATCACTTTAAACAACAAACAAAAGCGCAAACAAGGCCCAAAACAATAAATACATTTAAAAAATCAAAAGCCGTCGCCATATTTCAAGATTTCATTGACCAATAAAAGTATCAGGAGTGCGTACACGCGGCCATTAATCTTTGGGAACAGAGTGCGCCGGCGCATGTGGCTGAATCAAAACACGACGGATCGTTAATTGTGCGGCCTTGTGGACTCCCACCGGGGTAACGGGACTTGGCAGACCAACTGGGGGGCATAGACTAGTTATGTTGGTAGAACTGAGACATCGTCTTACTGCTGGAGAATGTGGTCAGTATTTTTAAAAAAAAAAATTTTAAAATACGATTTTTCAATGATGTCAAATAAAGTGACTGGATTCGGATATATTCCTAAGCTGCGTTGACAGACGCAGTAGTCTCATCTAATTGTGTATGGGATGTGATTATGACAAACGCATTCCTAAAAGGGAAGCTGGATGCATTTTATATTGATTATTTGATATTTTCTATACTACACTCATTAAAACTCCTTTATCTAGGTACAAAAAATAAATATAAACAATAAGTACCTTATCAACCTTTCATTTAAAATTCTTTAAAAATTAATCTGTAAAGCCTTCGTCTTATCTGTAGCGGTTACTCTTTGCCCGATCACGAATATCAACAACATTACAGCTTACACGGGGACGGCCTGACTCGTCCCACGCCGCATGCATTGATATAATTTCGATACTTTGTGACTAACATGACTTTTTAAATGAACCCTTACAAATGGCACGCTTGTATCCACTGAAGTACCGTTATGGATAAAATGTACAATATTACATATCATCGGTTTCGAATATTTTGATATCAGGAATGATGTATGGGGGTTTTAGCTTGGATATTTATTATATATTTAGATGTGATTTGGTCATAAAACTCGATCCGTGTTTAACTTTAAAAGCATTTATATTAGAAATTTCGTGAGACATAGGTACCTACAGTAGCAGTGCGACAGTCACCGCGTCGCTGGTCGCGGAATGCTGCTCATGAATATGAGCCTCTAGCATGGCTTGAAACTTTTCGAGTTCCTCGTCAAATTATTACGTGAGTAAACATTGTCAGCATGTTGCAGTCCTTTGCTGAACAAAAGCATCTAATAACTCGCGGACTACAACCACTAAGCTCGATTTAAAAACCCAGTAATACATTGGCCGACCCGGGAATCAAATCAGAGACCCGTTGCCCGGCAGTCGCACTTGCGACCACTAGGCCAATGAGGCAGTCGGCTGAAGAGATCTGGATGAAATTTGGAAGGGAAGTAGATTATGTTCTACAATAACTAATAGGCTAATAATGGGTATAATGGGATATAACTAATGGGTTAAAGCACAGGTTAAACCCACGAGAATGTGAGCGAAGTCGCTGACAGAAGCTAGGTTGACAATAAGCGGCGTTATGTTACGTAGAAAAAGAAAACTAAATTGTATTTCTGTAAGTATTTATTATGCACACTCACATCTTACTATGTATGTATTTACATCAATGGTATCACTGTGACATCGTCACGCAATGAGTACAAAAAGAAGTGGAAGCATATTTAACAATTTTAAACCTTAAAACTAGGATAATTAGGTCGAAACAAAGATTTAGACTAGTTTCAGACGGAAACTCAGGCACTTTTCTATAATATTCTATAGCATTTAAGGGTCAGTTCACATTGGCGTAGACTTAAAACGCATCGAAGTGTCAAATGTCAATCTGTCTAATAAATAATTTGTTTGAACGCGCTGACGCGTAATCTCCAAAGGTACTGGTTTAAATTGAATGATATTTTTGTATGACGCTCCGATCCTGCGCTAATATGACTTGACGCTAATCCCCAAATGTTTGAATCAGATACTTTTGGGGTTAAAAAGCAAAAAAAAACATACAAACGTCATTGGCATCGTGGCTTTACGGCGGCCATAGACAAAACGATCACAGACTGATTTTTCTCGTTCTCTATCGTATCAAAACTTATATGATATTAAACTCAGTTTTAATTAAATTACAAATGATTTCGTCAAAATAAGCAAAAAATATACAGGTTATTGTATAAGAATGGCCGATTCCTAACTCCATTGTTTTTTTTTAATAATTCAATTGAATATAATTTATTTTTATGTCCTAAATAACAATATCCGGCATTTCCAGAGATCATTTCTAAAGAGATTTTCAATATTCACTCAAAATTTTATCCAACAATAATTTTCCTACATAGAAATCGACCACTCATATATAATATGCAAAACAAAACAATAAAATTTTTACAAAAAACAATTTTACTGACTACAATCGAGAGACGTTTCAGTTTTGTTCTTTATTATATAGAACAGAATCCTGTATCTACACAGGCCTTCGATCTGAGAGACCCACGCCATATTTGTACAGGGTTTTTTAAACGTAATTTACAAAGGAATTATTTCTTTAAACGTGGCCCCCACCCTATTATATATAAATAATCATATTATTTTATGTTGTGGGTGCGTTTACAATTATAAAATTTCACATACAAATGACACCCGGAACAGAACAACCAAAGAGTTGCTCCGTACGGATTTGAACTCGCGACACGTTGCACAACAGCCAGTTGGTCTACCACTACGCTACTCTTCTTTACATGTTATTATAAGGGTGTATCAACTCAACAAAGGTTTGTTTTCTAAATTAATCATGTGTACATTATTGTATTACTTAAAGTAACTATCATGAGATATTTGAAATATACGTTTTACTCTTCGAGAAAAGCTCGACTAGTTTCAAGTCTACACCGGGACTTATAATCATGACCCGAGTGCCCGGTTACAGTTAAAAACTAGTCGATACTTTTTCAAATAGTACATGTAATTTAGTCGAATATTTCAATTATTCATGAATGTGTGCAAAAATGCTAAAATAGAAATATTTATACATATACACAATAATTTACGCTAGTCAGGATCTAACAACACGTATCATTTACCGATACTATGTACTTGGTAAATTTTATAATACACATATGTATGTTTATATTATACCTTCACAATGATTTATCTTAGTAAATAAAAAAAATAATGTCATATTTCAACTTAGTTTTACAAAGTTGAGGTATACAGAATACAATTAACCAACATTTTTGGTTTCAACTGAGCAAAAAGATAATATAAAGAACAGATGGATCACCTGATGGTGAGTATGTAGCGTCGCTCATGGACACCCACAGCACTACCGTTACGTAACTAGTTACAAGTGCGTTACCGACCTTTTAAGGACAGATTTGGGCCTCCACTGATCTCAATCACACGGCGAAACACTTCGCAAGCGTTGTTTCAAGTCGGTTTTATGTGAGACCGTGGTATCACTCCGGTCGAGCCGGCCCATTTTTTGCATAACCATGGAAGAATTTATGATAATCATTTAACCAAAAATATTTACACAAATTTGTAATATCAGCCTTAAAGGGAAAGATTATTAAGGTGCTTATTAAATTGACTAATAAATAATATGAAAAATATGGTGTATAAAAAAGTGACTGGACGCCAGGACAGTTATAAAAAAAGTGTCAATAGAAGGATATATCAATTTGGTAATAGCGTTTCGAGTTAGGAAGTTGATGTTTCTTAATTTATACTGCTAGGTAAGTTTGGGCATGTACTAATTCTTAATTCATATAAAGTACCAATGTACAAAAAGGAAGTCATATGATATAAATTATTTATATAACAATTTAGTTAATAGAATTACAATTTACTAATATTTACGGTCATTTTTTTTATCTTCTAAATAGTCGGTTTAATTTAAGTATAAAAAAATTCGGTTATATTTTTAATTGCTTGGCCTATTGTATTTTAAATGCCAATGGATTTATGAAAAGACTTATACTAAGTCGATCATCATAATATCACGCCTTTTCCTAAATGTCTGTTTAATATTAAGAACATTAATTTTCTGTGTCTGTGTCGGCGCTCTGATTAATTGATTCATTGGAGGCGGCCAATCAGAGCATCGAACGCGGTCTAGTTCCAATCATGACAAAGAGGTAACAAGAGACAAACTGGTACTAAACCTTCAGTGCATTTAGCCAAACGCCACTTTAACGCTTGTCTACCGAGACAGTAGACAACTAAATGTATGGGAATGACACTGCCAAGTGTCAAAATTTACGTCAATTTCATATAATTTGGTTTTTGGTTTTTAAGTGTTGCATTGTTCTCACACAATCGTACCAACAAAACTATGTAACTAGAGAATTGTATTGTAATGGAGTTTCTTGCTCGTTCTTCTCCATAGGAATCTACACCTTGGAATGAGCAACTAGCTTCACTTCAAAATTTTAGTTGTTGACGTTCAAAAGTGCCATCCTGGTCTAATTGAAATAAATAATTTTGACTTTGACTTCGACTTCCTATTCTACAAGTAGACAAGCGCTAAATGGCATTTGGCTACAGCTGCAGCTTATTAAACAATCTTTACGACTTAACAATCGTAGGTAAATTATATTGCTTGTAAACATTGTTCCATATGGCAATAAGGTAAGCTTTTCTTATGTAGGGGAAGTCCATAGGCCAGCAGTAGACTGTCGATACTTAAAACTGGTTGTTGAAACTAAATGCAAAGTTAGTTCAGCTTGCCAAACTTAGCTTAGTATTTATTATAACTCTAGATATTAAATTTCCTTCTAATTACTAAAAAAAAGAAAACCAACAAAGGGTAGTTTCCTAAATTTTATTCTAATGTCCGTCTGGTAGATTATTTTAAAATATTAGACACGTATTTTTTCTTTTCTCACAAAATGAAATGCTTTCGACGATATATTGATTTGAAATGTCGTGTGACATCACAGCGTGCAACAAAATGTAGCACGTTGTGACGTAACGACCTGTACGTGTCTAATATTTTTTCAATATCTAACTGACGGACTAATTAGATTTTTAATTTTCTTACGTGGGCAACTACCCGACTCTACAGTTAATATATTATATTTACATTTATGAACATAGTTTCACCAGTTACACCAGTTTCAGGCATAAAGTATAAAAACATTATGTTACCAGGCTAAGTTGGATCAGAACAACTGTTCACACAAACTAAGACAAAAGTTAATGAATAATGATATGAATCGTTGCAATATATATTTTACCATAAAACTTTAAACAATTCCGCAAACGATGACGTCATTACGCAAATGACGTCACAAAATGATGATTCGATACAGATTTTAATGTCAACAAGAGACTGAGCTAAACTTGAAATGTCTTACAAATCAAAGTGGTAAGCTCTTGGTCTATATTAAAGAAACTAGTCAAAGACAGTTAGTATAAAAGTCTCACCCATCCACTTAAATCACTAGAACACACACTAAGTCACAAATAGTTTCTTCATCACTCCAATTCCATGGCGTTTCTCATATAGTTATCTAGCTCCTGGTCTAAAGCTGCCTTAGTGCATGACATGTACTGGTCCAGTTGTGCATCTAACTCCTCCTTGGTTAAAATAGGGTTCTGTGACTGGCTGCGTGTGATTCCACCTGAGGAATGACAAAAATAAACATTAGAATGTAGTTTAATGATCTCTAAGAAAAATATATGAATTTCGCTCATCTTGAGAAATTGATTTAAACACAAGCATCATAGTTGTACACTTGCAAATGCAAAATTTCGCATTTTTTGATACATTTGTTAGGTCGATGTTTAATATACACTTTGACTATTACAAAATGTCTGTAAAATAAATATTTTTTTATTATTATTTTAATCAAATCAACACATCCTAACAGGTTACACTCAATGCGATGATGTTGTCACTAAATGTAAAAACTTATAGTTAACGCTGTAATAACACAGCCATATTAATATTGCATTCATCCATCAAGTTAGAAGTAACAACATCAGTCTCGGTGTGTCATCAATATGTGTTTGCAATGTGATTCTACACCAATCTTTTAAAAAAGTACCTCGTCCTCTCGCGCGGCCGCGTCGTGCAGTCTGTGGTCGTTGTCCGAGTGGCCCAGCCTGTTGGTTCTGTGTGTGTGTGCCATTCTGTAGTTGTGGCTGACGACGTTGACCGTTCTGTTGCTGTCCACCTCGGCGACGCATTCCTCGGCGTTGCTGGAAACCGCGACGCTGTTGCCCGTTCTGTTGCAAACCATTCCGCTGCCTCAACTGACCAACCTGACGGTTTCCTACTTGACGACCAGTCCTGAAAGATTTAAATTGAAAGATAAAATAAAGTAATATATTTACAAAATGGTTTTTACATCCATCTTATTACATATTAGTTTTACATTTGTGCTAAACAATGACGTACCTCAGCTTGCCCCGCAATGCTCTCTGGCCGCCGCCGCGTTTGCGAAACCCGCGTGCTGGTCGAGCGCGCCATGCTAGATTGGCCAGGTTACTGATCGAAGCTGATCTGCTGTAAAGAGAGAATAGAAAATATTACAGCTTGTCACCTAGCCCTCAAAAAAGGTTGACGTCTGTGCCCAGTCATAGTTGTCACATCATCTACATTCATTAATCTCTTCAAGTCTGCTTATTGATTTAGCTATAGGCCTTTAATTGGGATCTTTTTCAATACCTTCACAAAATCTTTATAATTTAACTCGTCGAGTACTGGTTTTGTAGACACAATTATAGAACAATAGGTTGCGGTCACCGGTGACCGCTTAGTGTTTGACAGTTTAACTAATCTTCAAATAGAATTAATATTATCATTTAAGTCTAATCTTGCAGTTATTGTTATAAGATATACAGATGGCAACAATTATTTACAGCCTGAGGTTTTACCAGACTCCACATAGATAATGGTCCTTACCTAAGATTATTATTAGACTGTCTCCAAGCCACTCTATTCTTGATGCTCTGTTGGCTGAGATTACCAAAACTGTTAGACCTCCTTAGTCCTGCTAGGTTGCCATCGCTGCCCACTCGGCGTAAGTTTGACTGTTGATAACCTAGCCGTTGTCTAAGTGCTAGCTGAAATTAAAAACATAATATAGTACCTAAGGGCCTGTTTTAAAATGACTGGTTTCTATTGGTGTACCTGACAGGTATTTGAACATAATAAATGCATGTCAAAATATCCGTCAGTTTTATTTTATTAAAGGACAATGCCCGAAACTGTATAGAGCAAAAAGCGAGAATTGGTTAAAATAATTTTATTTACATGTGGCGAGGTAGAATATCCATAGTAACTACTTTTATCCCAAATTAAATAATTGTTTTCCATGAAACCATCACCAAGTAATAAAAAAAACGGATAAATATGATCTTTCTGCAGATTTAACAGTCAGTTTATACTGGTTTTTTGAACAAAACAACACACACATCAGGGTAAGATAAGATTTTGACGTTAAAAAGTGCCTTCCTGGTCTAATTTAAAGAAACGATTTTGACTTTGACTTTAACTTGGAAAATATTATAGGTTTGGTGGGTTGGCTTATAATTCTCGTAAATATAATTTATTATTATTAGCATTCTCCATTGCTTTCAATAGTGTAGGAACAAATATAGAACCAGAAAAAATTACAATTATTCACGCATCCATACAAAATTGTAATATTCTGCAGGCTCCTGGCCCCTGGTTATGGTTTTGGCCAAAATTAATAGCATCTTTGTGACCTCTTACTTAGTGTCTACATTGTCTATGAATGATTTTAACCATTTATTCTATTATCACTTGTTTCACTTCACATACTTGTTTCGCTTGGGTTCGAAACCTACCAACAGCAAGTACCTACCAATGTGACGTTTTCCGAGTTTATATGTACTTTCCAAGATTATCTAGACACCACTGACAAACGGTGAAGGAAAACATCGTAAGGAAACCTGGGCTTATAATTCGTAATTATAAGTTTTTAATTGCCAACCCGCATTGAGCAAGTGTGGTGATTAATGCTCAAACCTTCTCTGTGTGAGAAGAGGCTTTGCTCAGCAATGGGTATTTATAGGCTGTGGATAATGATGATTTTAATCAACCCTAGGTTTTTTGGGCATTCTCCTTGGAGATGCAAGATATACTTAAAGACAATAATACAGGTGTTGTACCTACATATAAGTTAGTTACTTACACCAAATTAAATATTTCTATCTAATTGAAATTATAAAATATTGCAAATACCTAAACAGTAAGATAAGGTTTGAGGAAATTTATTATAGATAGATAGTACAAATAATTAACGAAAACATGTTTTACAGATTTGCATCAAAAAATACCATGTTTCTACACATTGAGGTAGATAGGTGTAATAAAGTTGTTATTGGCTTGAAACTTAACATGATAACTACTTCAATGTTAAGTTTAAGTAGCAATAAAAAGGTGAAATGTTTACTACATATATTGTAACATATTATAGATCGTAATTTTATGAGAACTATAAAATAATAACACATTACACCAAGGTGTGGTATTTATTTTCACAGAATTTCGCTTATATCCACATGTGGTCTTTTTGAAAATAGATTTTAAACATAGTAATGCGTATAATAAACGTATTAATAAAGTATTTAAGCGTATAGTTACCCTTTTAGCTTGCATCTCCAGCCGGCGAGCGACCTGCTCAATCAGACGGTTGCTGTAGTTGTAATTTTGGCTTATTAGGGATCCTACTGAAGCGCGTCTTTTCCTCTGCAGTACACGATCCGGTGCTGCGCTCGCCAACATCGAAAACCGATCATGGAGACTCATCCCCGTAGCATGAAGACCATGGACTTTCTCTATTACCATCTTGCAAGTCGTTATTCAATATGTAGATAACCTCAACGGCCACAGAAACTCCAACTATTACACGAACTAAGGAATCACAATCACAGTAACCCTCATGCGACACGAATAGTTATTTCAACGTAATTTGATACAAACATTTACAAGCAAAGCGAAAAATTTTTCACTGACGCAGCTGACGCTCGCGGCAACGAATATTTTTAATCTGTGTAAAGTTGCACGAGAAATGCGAATGACGATGACAGAGGGATAGCAGTGTTATCAACTTTTGAAAATAATGCCTCTAAAGTTTTAATATAATGTGTCTGAAAACTTTAATTATAATAATCAGTGAAAAACAGGCAGTTGAGACTTCAAAATATATTACAACTACTAAATCAGTTGATATAGGTAATGTAGAAATGTGTAACTTTTTACATTTAGTTTAACGATTATTTTATGCATAATTTAATGATTATTTAGGTAAAAAAAATAAATTAATATCCCTCTACAATTCCACTGAATTGGTTTACTCTACCTCTGCTACTACCTCTGCAGAGGTAAATCACTTAAGTTGGTAACCCTGGGTGAAGGATGTAACAAGTTAGGTGGCAGTTGAAATTTAGTTTTTCCAAACCCATATTGCTTCAAATAACCTAATTATAACATGAACTTGAACATCACAATTTTTACATTTATTATTATTTTTATAAATGTAACAAATTAAAAAATTTTGCAGACTGAAAAATGAAACGTTTTTTTTTTTTTTTTCGTCTATGGCAATTGAGTCTCCACTATTTAGTAGTTGACTATTCTGCCAGCGTCATGTGTTAATGAAACGTTGTTTGACATTTTTATTATCTGTCAGTGCGTTGACATGACAGTGACAGTGTGACCATTCAAAACGTCAAATTCCCATAACACATTTTCGGCGACTTATTTGATTTGGAAATGATTTCATCATAATTTCTCGAAAAAGGGTGACTCAAAACTTTAAAAAATATATTATTATGGCACGTGCGCTTTGATATATTAGAAATTTGGGTTAAAAAGTGGTGATTATGTGTAATAAAGTCGTAACTAAGTGTTGTTTACATTATAGGTCACAAAAGGTTACGCATAGTAGTCATGCTTGAGGTGCTTATAAGCGGGTGTCGCGAGGATTGGCGGCTCAATTCGATCCAATCGCCAATGTTGGAAGACAGTAACGGCACGCCAGTCGACGAGTTCGATTGCAGCGACATGGACGCCTGCTATGAAACGTTTGACAAAGATGGGTATGTTATAAACACAATTATCCTAATAATTTCCAGGAAAACCACCGACAAATCGCCTCCTAGAAATTCTAATAAGAATTATTTATGCAATTAGAAGTCTAAGTAAGCGGGTTTTATTCATAAAAACAAGTTTAAACTTGTCTTAGTTTTTATAGGTGTATGTTTAGATTTGGTCCTCTAGGGAGCTTAAAGTATATGTTTATGAATGAAAGTGCAAATTTAGTCTCCAATATTAGAACATACAAATATTTTCAACAAGATAACATTTATTTACAGTGAAAAGTAAACCACTTTCTTTGCTAGAAACTTATTGAATTAAAAATGGATTAATACAGTCAAGTCAAAGTGCTACAAATTTAAATATTTTTGTAATTTAAATTAGCAGTTTTAAAGTTTTACATCTCACCTTTGTATGGTAATGAAATAATAAGTTTAGTGTTATTTATCATTTACTATTTTTATCTTTTCAGCTAAAGATTTCTTTTAGGCACTATCGTAGGCTTCCCTTATCACATATAAGAAGAATAACATTGTTTTTGAAGTTATAAAAAATTAACATAACATCATGCTTTTTATCCCCAAAGAGGAAGGCAGAGGTGCACATTACGGCACTTAAGGCCACTATACAAAGTAACAGCCACTTTTCACTATTTATATTATGAGTTCCATGTAGTTAATAGGGGGTGAGCCTAATGCCATATACCGGGCACAATTCCACACTCTGTGGTATTACTGAGAAATTTTGTAATATGTAGAATAGACTACTGAAATATAAATAAACTTCTTACTGTGAGTGGACCCTGCTTCCAATTAGATTTAAAAAGTAATTGAAAATTTGTCTGATCATTTACATTCCCAAAAAGTAGTGCAAAGTCAGTTTTAACCCTTTGAGTGCCATCATTATAGTGCTTTTTTTTCGCGGTCGGCATTGCAAGTGGAAGGACGTTTTTTCTGTTAAATTATAAATTAATATTGCGAATTTAAATATACCACCCTTTTAGTATTTAGACTATTTATATCTACTGTAATAATATTAGTGAGCATACTTACGCCTGTAATAACCCTGGGCAAATAAAACCAACTTGGCACGCCACCTGCCAGCTCATCAACAGAACTTTATTGAGTACCACAATCACAGTTATCACAGTTATCACAAATCACCATGTCTGAAATAGCCGAAGTCCGTTCAACACAAAAATCCTTGGAGGAAAAGTTCACACCACTGCAAGAGCTGGTTGTGAATCAGTTGGAGGCAGTCAACGCTCAGATCGAGGCGGCAGGCTCCGGAAAGGACACACTTGCGAAGCTGGCAGATGAGTTTCGAACCTTCAGAGTACTCATGTATAGCGTGCTGGGCACCATGCGCCGCCAGCTCACTGAGTGCTCTCAGCAGATAGATGATCTCGCAACAAGGAGCCGTCGAAAAGCGTTGATCATCCATGGAGTTCCTGAAAAAGAGGGCGAGGACTGTAAAGGGGTAACTTTGGATATTTTTAATAGAAACCTGGGCCTCAAACTCACCTCATCATCTGTCAAGGTTTCGCACAGACTGGGGCAGACCAGTGCGGATCACCACCGGCCTCTTCTGGTCCGGTTTGCCAGTGTGGATATCAAACAGTCTGTCTGGCGGGCCAAAACCGGATTAAAGGGTACGAAGATTGCCATCAGAGAGTTTCTGACCCGTGAGAGACAGTGTGTCTTTGCAAAAGCACGACAGCACTTCGGCGTGAGGTCTTGCTGGACACAGGATGGTGTAATCTTCGTCAAGGCCTCAGATGGGAAGCGGTGTAAAGTGTCTTCGATGGATGAGCTGAAGCCTCTGCTAGCCAAGTACCCAAGGACGCAAAGCACTTCATCATCCAGTACCAAGCGTGGTGCGGAGGAGGTTGGCGGAAGTCTGAAAGCGAAGCGCAGCTAAGTATCAGCCTGGTATTCACACGGTATATAATAGAGCCACCAAACAGATTGTTCTCAGTACTTACTGTGTGTTTGTTCCATCGGATTTGCTTTGGCTTCCGTATTAAACTGTCCAACACCAAGCGGTCACCGGTGGCCGCATACTATTGTTTTATAATTGTGTCTATAATGACGGTACTCGACGAGTTAAATCATTTTGTATCTTTCTTTGTCATCTGTTAACTCTTCAGGTAGGAGGTATCTTTTTAAGTTTGCATATTTTGTATACCTCCTACTATTATTATTGTAATGTAACCGTCGTTGGCATGATTCACTGTCCCTTTGTTTGCTTATGGATTTGTACAACATTATATTAATTTTACATACACCGTCATTTTGAAACACTAATTTATACGTAATTCAACAATAAATAATATTGTGTTGACAAATAGCATGTCATCTCTTTGTGACCGTGACGGATGACATAACGCTGTTTGACACTTGACATAGTATGACGTTTCAAGTTAATGTTGCGTCTGTGGTTCTGGTTTTGGTTTTGTGTTGTGCGTTTTGTTATCATTGTTGAAATGGAAGGCATAGTCTTGATTTGTATTTTTATTTTCTTTTTAATACGTTTTGTTGTCTTTCATTAATCGTCTTTTTTTATTGTGTTTTTTTAGGTACCCAAATTACTAGCAATTTTTTGTTTTAATTTTCGGAATGTTGATGTTAGCTGGCGGGTGGTGCAGAGTTTATCCTGAGTATTCTTTCATTTATAGCAAGCATTATAGTTTCCATATAATAAAACGTTTGTTCCTAATACTATTTACGATCTTCTGTATTAAAAGTATATTTATTATTATTTAAATATTTATTTCATATATTTATTTTATTATTATTGTTATTTGTCAATGTCCAGTGATGATTCTTTTGCGTCAGCCAACTCATTATCTGATAATGATAGCTTTTGCTCTTTGAATGCTTCTCTGCATGATTTTATTCAAAGTCGTTTTACGGATGGCAATAATCATGTGCTAAATGTATGTCACATAAACGCGCAAAGCATTCCTAGCCACCACAACGAACTTTTTGATGCATTCAACAACAGCAACGTCCACGCCATCCTGATATCTGAAACCTGGCTCAAACCACAATTGTTGTCAACAACCTACCCCCTTCCAGGTTATATTCTTATACGGAACGACCGGACTGTTAAAAGAGGGGGTGGGGTAGGTATATATCTCCGTAGTGAGTTTTCTTACAAGGTGCTCTCTTCTTCTTCTCCCAATTGTCCTGCGGAGTATCTTTTTCTTGAGGTTTGTAGCCGGGGGGGGAAAGTTGTGTTAGGTGTTGTCTATTGTCCTCCTACTAATGATTATTTCACTGACTTCGAATCAGTTCTTGAATCATTGGGTTCCGAGTACACTCACCACATAATCATGGGCGATTTTAACACCAACCTTATGTCCCACGCCTCTCCTCGTTCCCGCAAACTCCTGCATATAATCGAGTCAGCGAGCTTGCAGCTGTTACCGCTTAACCCCACTCACCACACTACAGTCGGCGAAGACTCCTGGCTCGATCTTATCCTCATTTCCAATCCCTCTCTCGTTTCTTGTCATGGACAACACGACGCTCCGGGTTTCTCTCACCATGACATGATTTTCTTGTCCTATATCCTAAAACCGCCTAAGGTGAGACCCAAGGTGTTGTACCGGCGTTGCTTCGCGCGGATGGACAAATCTAAACTCCAGAAAGACGCGTCCTTGATCAACTGGGAGCCACTGATGGAAGCATCTTCAGTGGATGATAAAATTGCGTACTTTAACGCGGTGATAACTAGCGTGTATGATCTTCATGCTCCCATCAAGAAAGTTAGGATTAAACGACCACCGGCTCCGTGGATGACGCCTGGTATTAGAATGGCGATGCGACGTCGTGACCGCGCGTTCCGCAAGCATCGAAGAGATCGTACGGAGGATAACTGGGCTGCCTTTAAGACCGCGAGAAACAGATGTAACCAGATGGTACGTGACGCTAAACGCCGCCACGTTCTTGAAAAC